CACACACACATCATGGTAAAATCAATACATTCATCGCTCCGCTCAGAATCTAAAATTCTCAGTATAGGTACTCAAAACTATCAGGAAAACTGAAAAAAAATAGTTTTTAACAAGAATTTTTAACTTCAATTTTTAATAACGTTTTTAGTGATGATAAAAATGTGTAAATGGATTAACTTGAAAATGTAGGTATTATAAGTTCTTGCGGAAATTTAAAAATATTGGAACGAGTTTTTTTTAGCGTTTGAAGTTAAAATTTTGGCGACATTCGTTAAAATTACGAAAATGTACAAAATAATTGTTCAATACCTCTGTCTTCTAAGGCTTTTGGGATTTAATTGAACACTATATAAGGGTTTTCCTAAGTAATTCTTATAGTGACTCCCAACAATGTTCAAAATATATAAGTGCAATTTTTTTATAGTAATTTGAAGTATACATTTTTACTAAATTATAGATACTTCAAACTTTAAAGAAGAATAACGATTTTAGTTATTTTTTGTTATTAAAAAATTTTATCCGTCGAAACTTTAAATTTGTTATTGTATTTTACTATATATCTATATAGGTGTACATTCACACGATGATATTTTCATAATATTTAGATTACTTTTAGGGATGGATCACCTATTTGTAACAAGAACCTATATTTACACCGTTCTTTGGTAAGTCTTAATTGATTTTAAGTTAAATTATAACAATAATCTTAATATAATAGGTATGATATAATTAATAATTTATTATAATATAGATTTATATGGTAATATCATGSACTTATATAAATACCTGCTTATAAATTATAATAATTGATAATATAATAAATACTATGTTTTCGGAAAAATTAGTTCATCCCATGGTATTAGAAACAATTAAATAATTAACTATATAATATAGCAATATAAATACATAATCAATTATATTTAGTAATATAGGCTGTCAGGCCGTCTGTGCTTAGATATTGCTAAGATTATACATATAGGTACGTTTTTCGCATAACTTGCTACAAAATTGAACTATCGTAAAAAACCCACATACAAACACAGATAATGTTCTAAACATTAAGTTTTATAATAGGTTGATTCCCTCTAATTTTTAAACTAACAGTTTATTTGATCTGCTGAGCCTGAGCGTAAATTTGSTATGTTATGCACTTGTAAGAGTAAGACGGAGACAACAAATGGTTGTGTAGCGTCCTCTAACAGTATTGAATAACAGCCCATCAGTAAAAATRGTACCTATAAACTTCAAATAGCTACTCGGTAAAAATGTACCTTATAAGATATATATACATYTTGTATAGCAATTTATAATTTCTCTTTAACAGCGTGGTAAACCAGACTTGTTCGACTAAGATTTTGAAAATATTTTATATGCTACGGATTTGGATTTGGATTTTGAAAACCAATTGTAGGTATAAGGATTTCGCCCAGTGGCCCAGTAGTTATACTAACTAAAAAAATATAAAATGTAAAACACCATAAGGTATGATAGCCAATAGGTATAGGTATATAATATTGTGTAATACTTTGTAATACACTGTGAACCTAGTGAACGGTGATTAAATTATTGTCATTCCAAAAATTCAATATTTTTTTAAATCGTGACGCTGACGMATCTGACCACTTTCACTCAGCGATATGATTAGGTTAGGTATATTATACTGACGTGAATAATCCGTTGAAGTAGTTACGGCATTATAGCTGCAGCTTGCACTATGTGGCATGTGCATTCAGGGCATTCAGGCATTTTGGAGAGTGCAGGTCATACAGCCTGGATGGCTGGATTGTAGTCGGCGACGGAACATAATGCCTATATTCGTGATCGTGATGCAACCGGTGAAGATGAGTGCGATAGTTGTCACTCTGCCGTGTAGAGGGCGCCGCGGTCGCGCGCACATTTTTTTTCGGAATTCGAAAACGCGATTTCACCTGCGCTGCGACGCGACGAGTATGACTGCACGTCGGCACGTCCGCACTCCGCAGTCCTAATTCCGCTGCTGCTGGYTGTACTAGGTATGGCTTTATGACTTAGATGACTGATWATGATAGTCGTAATATAACTCGAAGTTCGGCTGATTCCGATACAAGACTTTCTTCTCACGTCAACGATCGACATAATTCGTTGAAAGTGCACGTAACGAACCACACAACAYAGGCACCTTCTTATATTTTAAGAAATGAACAAAATGTTGACGTTTACGAGAGCCCTGAGCCGCCGGAGCGCGGTTTTGCTCTACGACTCGAGTGCTGTTCGAAAAAATAACTATAGGTAAGTATGAGATATATCTATAGAGTAAAGATCGTTTAACTTCTTATGATTATATATATAAATTTAAAAAAAATTCATCACGATTTAGGTCTACGAGTACAGTCCGCGCGCCACCAGTCCCTCCGGTCATAACTGGTACTGCCGTCAGCAAGGACGAGACCAGAGATTTCATGGCAGTGTTCCCAGATGTTGTCAGAGATCTGACTGACACCGGTCGCAACTTGGACGTGCCCGATGTTACCAAGTGGCTTGCAAAAGTATGAAACTGATTTTATGTTGGAGCTATATTTTCAACTTGCTGTATTATTATAGCTGTTGCAATACAATGTGCCTGGTGGTAAGAAAAACCGAGGATTGGCATTGGTACTCTCATTCAAAATGCTATCTTCACCTGCTGATCAGACCGATGAAAATCTTAAATTGTCCTACATACTGGGATGGTGTGTTGAAATCGTAAGTCATTTTAAGTTGTAATTAGAGGAAAATACTACCTACTACTGACCAAACAAWATATAAGTTCATCACTTTTTTTGAACTCTTGAATAAAATATAATTTATAAATATTGATTAAAATTTGTAGATTGATTTTAATACTTAAAGTTTATTAATAATAATAGTGAGATA